ATATATATATATATATATATATATATATATATATATATATATATATATATATATATATATATATATATATATATATATATATATATATATATATATATATATATATATATATATATATATATATATATATATATATATATATATATATATATATATATATATATATATATATATATATATATATATATATATATATATATATATATATATATATATATATATATATATATATATATATATATATATTCTGTATATCTACATATAAAAAAAAACACACAGTTAAAGTCAAAATTATTAAACCCCCTTAGATTTTTTTTCCTTTTTAAATATTTCCCAAATGATGTTTAACAGAGCAAGGAAATTTTCACAGTATATCTGATAATATTTTTTCTTCTGGAGAAAGTCTTATTTGTTTTATTTCGGCTAGAATAACCTAAACACCCTAGTTAAGCATTTAAATGTCACTTTAAGCTAATATCTAGCTTAAAAATATCTAGTCAAATATTATTTACTGTCATCATGGCAAAGATAAAATAAATCCGTTATTAGAGATGAGTTATTAACATATAAACAGGGCGGCTAATAATTCTGATTGCAACTTTTACTCTCTCTCTCTAAGTGTATATATATATTTTGAGAGAGAGGGAGAGAGAGAATATCAATATTTTAATATTTTATATGGTCAATATTATTAGAAATTGTTTTTTTTACCTGTCTACGGAACAAAGCTCTTAACTTGATTTTTTAACCTAATTAACCTGGTTAGGCCTTTAAATTGCACCTTAAACTGAATACTAGTATCTTACAAAATAACTAGAAAAATATTATTATTAAAGACAAAAGAAATTAGTTATTAAGACTGTACATATTTTTAAAATCTACATATAAAGTTCCTATATTTAAAAAAAAATCTGTAATTTCTAGAATGACTAGTGCGCGAAACATAGGAACATAACATGTGACCAACAGAAAAAGGTCAGCATGCTATTTTTAAAAACGTGTAGACTGAAATAAGTCAGTCAGAAGTGTGCTAACAGTGCATCTGCACACACACAGGAACTTGTTGTTGGCGTGGGTTTCCTCCGGGTGCTCCGGTTTCCCCCACAGTCCAATGACATGCGGTACAGGTGAATTGGGTAGGCTAAATTGTCCGTAGTGTATGAGTGTGTGTGTGTGAATAAGTGTGTGTGGATGTTTCCCAGAGATGGGTTGCGGCTGGAAGGGCACCCGCTGCGTAAAAACGTGCTGGATAAGTTGGTGGTTCATTCCGCTGTGGCGACCCCGGATTAGTAAAGGGACTAAGCCGACAAGAAAATGAATGAATGAATGAATGAATTTGGCTATGTTGTATGAGTGTATGAGCTAGAAGGGTATCCGCCGCATAAAACATATGCTGAAATAGTTGGCGGTTCATTCCACTGTGTAATAAATAAAGGACTAAGCTGAAGGAAAATAATTGAATGAATGTGTCTATAATACAAACTGTATATTCCCCTACCCCTAAACCCAACCCTCAAAGGAAACAATCAGCATTTTTATATTTTCATAATGTTTTATTCTGTGTGATTTATAAGCATGTTTACCCATAAAGACCTCAATTTTGGTTCCCATGAGTCCCCATGAGTCTGTGTGCCTTCATGTTTAAAGTCTGCAACCGGAAGCTGCAACCATTTTTGTTATATATTGTGATGCAGTTCCTAGAGAAACGGAATATTAAATGAGAAAACAGTGGGCGTGGCTTGTTTTTGTCGTCTGCGAGCTGATTGGATGTAGTAAAGTAGGCATTTCATTCAGAAAGATCGTGAAAAAAGGGTTTGGGTTTCATTATTACAACTTAACAGACTCCTCCTCCTCTCCATTTCTGTGTGTTGTCTAAACTGGCAGCTGGAGGGGGCGTGGTTAAGTATGATAGCCACGCCCAATACCTCAGGCAGGCCTAATCTGAGAATTGAACCGAAAACAAACAGGAAGTGTATTTTCAGATTTCAATTAAAGATTACAAGAGCAAACATTTGAGTTTTTCTTACTCACACACACACAGATGAATTGTTCACCACAAGACTAGCAATGTGAGCTAACAAAATCAATATGGTTAGTTTTGATTTCATGTGTACTTGAAGTCTCCACTGTGATATAAAAACAAGTCCACACACACACACACACTCATGCTTACCTTGGCTTTCTCACTGGGCTGAGAGCTGCTCATGTACGACTGGTTGTGCAGCTCTTTAGAAACGACACACAGGAACTCGGCCTGATCCTCATTACCATAGTTATAGGACGACCCGATGCTGACCAGCTACACAAAAAACACCAACAACACACAAGAAACAGCGTATTAGCGGCTAAATAAAATGCATCCTCATTTAAAATGCATCCAGACTGAATAATTAACACTAGAGTCCACCCAAAAATGCAATGATGTCAAGAGTCGCTCGATCGATAGGCTTAAAATATGAATGCGAATAAGTTGGTTTGCGAGTGACTGAATTGGGATTTCTGCATTTATGATGCTTTGAGGAGCTTTGACGACATCATTTGGCATTATTCAGTTTAACAGTGTGAGTTTGAAGGCATGTTTTACTGTGGAAATGCCGTGCATGTTTTGGACAGACATGAGGGTGTGGACAGTGAGGACAGGGTTCATATTTCTGGACGAGTAATCCTTAAGGCAAGACACTACAGGCATTTTTGCATGCAGTTTTGAGATTTTCATAAAATAATGGAAAAGAAAATATCCAAATCGCTACCATTGACTTCCATAGTGTTTGCTTTTCATACTATGGAACATTGACTTCATTGGCTTTCAGCTTTCTTCGAAACATCTTCTTGTGTGTTCAACAGAAAAACAGATATATTATCTATTAGGTATAATGTTTAATTTATTAGCTTTAGTTGTTTTTCACCTGTAATAAAAATATTTTGTATTTAGCAATTTAGCGATTCTATAAATGTTGATGAATGTACTGCATTTTTACTAAACAAAAATATCAATTACTTTCATTATTAAAATCTTAATAAATCCAAACTCATGGAAACAACCATGCAAAGTATTAGAATTTTTAATATACATAAAACTATAATGTACATACGTATATATGTTTATATATATATATATATATATATATATATATATATATATATATATATATATATATATATATATATATATATACACACCCACACACACACTAACTTTATTAGGTACACCAGTCCAACTGCTCGTTAATGCAAATTTCTAGTCAGCCAATCACATGGCAGCGACTTAATGCATTTAGGCATGTAGACATGGTCAAGACGATCTGCTGCAGTTCAAACCGAGCATCAGAATGGGGAAGAAAGAGGATTTAAGTGACTTTGAACGTGGCATGGTTGTTGGTGCCAGACGGGCTGTCTGAGTATTTCAGAAACTGCTGATCTACTGGGATTTTCACGCACAACCATCTTTAGGGTTCACAGAGAATAGTCTGAAACAGAGGAAATATCCAGTGAGCGGTAGTTATGTGGGCGCAAATGCCCTGTTGATGCCTAAGGTCAGAGGAGAATGGCCACACTGGTTCCAGCTGATAGAAAGGCAACAGTTACTCAAATAGGCACTCGTTACAACCGAGTAGAGCATCTCTGAACACACAACATGTCCAACCTTGAGGAGGATGGGCTACAGCAGCTGAAGACCTGCCTTGTATCAACGGTTCAGGCTGGTGGTGGTGGTGTGATGGTGTGGGGGATATTTTCTTGGCACACTTTGGGCCCATTAGTACCAATTAAGCATCGTGTCAACACCACAGCCTACCTGAGTATTGTTGCTGACCATGTCCATCCCTTTATGACCACAGTGTCTCCATCTTCTGATGGCTACTTACAGCAGGATAACACATCATGTCATAAAGCATGAATCATCTCAGACTGGTTTCCTGAACATGACAATGAGCTCACTGTACTCAAATGGCCTCCACAGTCACCAGAGCTCAATCCAAAAGAGCACCTTTGGGATGTGGTGGAACAGATTCACATCATGCATGTGCAGCCGACAAATCTGCAGCAACTGTGTGATGCTATCATGTCAATATGGAGCAAAATCTCTGAGGAATATTTCCAGTACCTTTTTAAATCTATGCCACGAAGGATTAAGGCAGTTCTGAAGGCAAAAGGGGGTACGACCTGGTACTAGTAAGGTATACCTAATAAAGTGGCCGGTGAGTGTGTGTGTGTGTGTGTGTGTATATATATATATATATGTATATATATATATATATATATATTTATTTATTAAAATTTTTGTTATGGGAGGATATTTCACTGAATAATGTGTCATTTGAATACTTAAATGTTTAAATTAAATATTTATAAATATATATTTGACTGTAACACTCCACAAGTCAAATGAAATCATTAAATAAACATGATAAACAAAATGACAAAAGTAATTGCAAATTCTGCTGATTTGTGGCAAAAAATGGCGCCTGAATGCCTGATCACATCAAACGCACTTTTTGAGTGAGAGCTGCTTGTTTTTGCATGGTTGTGATCGTTTTGAGCGCTTACATTTTAACCACCTGCTGCGCCTTGCATTTTTGCTGTTTAGCTCTGAAAAAGGACTCTATGTCAGACGCGTCTTTTTTCATTCTCCAATCAAACAAAAGCAGAGGCGGGGTTTCCGTTGAGGTTACAGCAGTATTTGTGTTGTGAAGACAACTACAGAAACTTTCAAAAATGGAGGAGGGACTAACGGTCGGTGTTTTGAGTTTTCCCGAGCTGTATGACTTTACAAATCCTGAATATCACAATATTACAATTATAACAATGTCAAGAGCAGCGCTCGTGCACAATACGCAGCTGACTCAGTCATTGCCTAGCAACAAAAAATGCGCAGCACACTTCTTTCTTTCTTGTCAAGAAAAAAAAAGTCACATTCTCAGAACAGAAAAGCACGTTCATTGTGATCGGCACATGATTTAAAGTTAAAAATGCCCCTGCATAAATTAACTAACTCTCACAACTGAAATTAAATATAAAAAATCCCCCAAAAAGTGTACATTTGCCGTATTTCATTTCAATTTGCAAACATTATATCGGATTTGTTTTTGATCAGAAATGACCCCATTAATGCAAAAGCTAATTTCTGACTCTGATTTTTACCCTGGGGTGTCTCACCTTACACACATACAACATGCGCACGACATGCTTGTGAACACAATGCAGACTCTGCCTTCGAAACAAACAAAAACACACACTTATAAACATGCAGGACGGAAGCACTGTGAGCACTGGCATCAATCATGCAGGTTAGTGGGAGGACAGCGGATGTTTGGACACACCTCTCCACTGTGGGCGGGGTGAGTTTGGCTTGACTCCTCCCCCTTCACCTCCCGAGACACAATCAGGAAAAACTCTGACTTCTGGGCCCGCCCATAACCTACACTGACAAGCTGCAACAACCAATCAGAGCGTGAGGCGGGGCCTGCATCACAGAGCGCAGGCGAGTCTGATTGTTGTGGAGCTGGAATGAGCGGTGGAAGTGATGCGGGTGCGATTTACCTGCTCAAACTTCCACCCGTCCGACATGGTGGAGACCATCTGCGTCAGCTCTTCTTCTTGACACTGCAGCACTCGGTACACATGCTTGACTGGCGTCTGAACACAAAGAGATGCACAAATTAGCAAAGCTTTAATTCAAATGCAAATGATTTTACTATAGATATAATACTATACAGTGCTCAGCATATATGAGTACACCCCATTTTGAAAATGAATATTTTTCTCCAATTCTCACTGAATATAAGCAATGTATTGTGGTGCATTTAAACAAAACAGATTTATTAAACAGATATATTTATTAAAATAATATTTTAGTCACCAAACATATTTAGAAATTGAAAGATAATACTATTAAATTCAAGCAAAACAATGCAAAAAACATGACAACCTACAAAATTTCAGTTAAATTTTTCTGTTTTCTTCGCTTCTCTTGATTTTTCCTCTTTTGTAAATTTGTATTTAATATTTTTCTATAACATAAATGTGGGTGTACTTGTTTATGGACCGTTATTGTAAGTTATTTTGTTAGATAAACTCCAGATTTGCAGATTTTCAGTTCTGACTAATCTAATGCAGAGATTAAAATGAACTCTCACAATTATACTATAATTTTTGCATTTCATAAGTACTACGCTATATTAAAATGATCGAAATAATGCACTTTCTCCTGTTCTTTGAGTGATTACTTCAAACTCGGCGCATAAACAGCCTCATGATCGCGTCTGCAACTAGTACACGTCAGTCTGTTCGTTCACAAACTATGGCTGAAGTGAAAGTCTCTCTTTGTGTATTATTGTGTAAACCAGGGGTCACCAACCTTTTGGAAACTGAGAGCTACTTCTTGGGTACCGATTAGTGTGAAGGGCTACCAGTCATTAAATATCACATTTTACTTAACTTACTTTTAATTATATGTTATTAGTAATAATTATTTATATTTATCTGTGTGAAGACATTGATCATGTTAATGATTTCTCAAAGTAGTTGTCAACAATGATTTAACAAGTCAGATAAATATCAATATGCAACACTTCATTTGTCTGAAATCACGGAAGCGTAGAGCTGCCACCCAGGTAAAAAAAAATCTGAGCTTTATCCAACACAATCTCACGGCAATTCGTAACTTTTTCATTTAGTGGCTAATTCGTACAAATTCGTACGATCTAATTCGTACATTTTAGTACGATTTGCGTATCCCCCAATGACGGTTGGGTTTAGGGGTGGGGTTAGGTGCCACGCCTCCTTTTTAAAATCGTACATTTTCTTACGACTGAACTCGTACGAATTCGTACGAATTAGCCACTAAACTGCCAAAACGTAAAATACTTACGTTTTCTCGTGAGATCAGGCTGGCTTTATCACGTTTGTACAATATACTTTTCACGTTCTTACAATATAATATCACGTTTGTACAATATACTTTTCACGTTCTTACAATATAATATCACGTTTGTACAATATACTTTTCACGTTCTTACAATATAATATCACGTTCTTACAATATAATATCACGTTTGTACAATATACTTTTCATGTTCTTACAATATAATATCACGTTTGTACAATATACTTTTCACGTTCTTACAATATAATATCACGTTCTTACAATATAATATCACGTTTGTACAATATAATATCACGTTTGTACAATATACTTTTCACGTTCTTACAATATAATATCACGTTCTTACAATATAATATCACGTTTGTACAATATACTTTTCATGTTCTTACAATATAATATCACGTTTGTACAATATACTTTTCACGTTCTTACAATATAATATCACGTTCTTACAATATAATATCACGTTTGTACAATATACTTTTCACGTTCTTACAATATAATATCACGTTTGTACAATATACTTTTCACGTTCTTACAATATAATATCACGTTCTTACAATATAATATCACGTTTGTACAATATACTTTTCACGTTCTTACAATATAATATCACGTTCTTACAATATAATATCACGTTTGTACAATATACTTTTCACGTTCTTACAATATAATATCACGTTCTTACAATATAATATCACGTTTGTACAATATACTTTTCACGTTCTTACAATATAATATCACGTTTGTACAATATACTTTTCACGTTCTTACAATATAATATCACGTTTGTACAACATACTTTTCACGTTCTTACAATATAATATCACGTTCTTACAATATAATATCACGTTTGTACAATATACTTTTCACGTTCTTACAATATAATATCACGTTTGTACAATATACTTTTCACGTTCTTACAATATAATATCACGTTTGTACAATATAATATCACGTTTGTACAATATAATATCAAAAGCTTCAGATTTTTTTTTACCCTGGGGTGGCAGCTCTACGCTTTCCGTATGAAAATAGTTTTTAAAGTTTTTTTTTTTTAAATATAACTTAAAGTAATTTTCAAATTTACACAAATTCAAGTGTGATTTAAAAAGAATACCTATAAAAATATTAGATGCAGCTTACTCATATGTGGTGCTATGGTGAGCTATTTTCAGAACAGGCCCGTGGGCAACTCATGTCAACATGTTGGTGACCCCTGGTGTAAACTATTTGATATATCTACATAGTTGTCCAAATGAATGTCCTGTGAGTGTGTTATAACAGACGCGCGCCCAAAAAGGAGGATCTCACGAGGCTCAATGGTGTTTCTGCCATAGACTGTAAAACAAACTTGCATATGAGCTTCAGACGCGCTCTGGCGGAGCTTTTCACTATTCCTGTCAAAGTTTTGAGTTTTGCGTCTAGAGTGTTGCATATTGACATCAGGGTTTTGAAATTTGTGGCAAAATAATAAAAAAAAACTGTAATGGGATGTAATGAAGACCACAACTTCCACGATTCCACACTCAGTCATGAAACTACACCTTTGTTTGTTGTGAATACACACCCTCTAGTGGCCAAATTGGCGTACTGAAGCTTTAAATGCTGAAAAATCATTGGAGGCCACTCTATACAAACATGCTCAAACGTGACCTATGTAAGTAGTATTAAAATATTGGTCCCAGCGTTGTGTTGACGCTCTCTTACGTGTGTGCTCTTGGCGTCTCTTTCGATGATTTTCTCCTTGATCAGTTTTATTAGTGAGGTGATGTTGTAGAACTCGGCCTCTTCAAGAGCTCCTGATGGACACACACACACACACATCGAGGACAGATTCGATGCTTTAGTCACAGTCTCTGTGTGTGTTTGCATGTGTGTGTTTTTTATGTCTGTGTGTTTGAGAATATGCGTGTGTATGTATCTCTGTGCTTTTGTATGTCTGTGTGTGTGTGTTTTTATGTCTGTGTCTATGTGTGTTTGTGTATCTGTGACTGTGTGTAAGATTATGTGTGTGGATGTGCGTTTAAATGACTGTGTGTGTTTGTGTGCTTGTATGTGTGTGTGTTAGTGTGTTTGAGTGCAAGTTGAGTATGTGTGTGTCTGTTAGTGTGTGTTTGAGTGTATTTTTTTGGTTTTGTGTGTGTGTTTTTGTGTGTGTATGTGTGTTTGTGCATCTGTGTATGTTTTTATGTCTGTGTCTATGCATGTTAG